TCTTATTAAAATTCTACCGTGTAGCTTTAAAAGGACCCTTACCTTAAAGGAACACAGAGTCACGAAATGCGGAGGATTTTCTTTCTGTTCGCCATGCGGTATCAACTTACAACAGATGTCGAAAGTTAAAAATGAAAAAATGACATTAAAAATGAAACACCCGAAATTGAATGAAACTCTGGATAACTTGTAATGCAACTAATTGTTCTATACTGGAACTTGCCTTCAAAAAGTGCTTCCTTGGTCTTATCCACATTTATTGCATGTTGAACACACGTCCACCACAACAGGAAGTAAAAAAAACCTGAACTATAGGTCTAGATATATATAGGTCTGGGCTCTGGCTGGGCCACACAAGGTCATACACCGAGATGTTGTGAAGCCACTCTATTGATATTTCAGTGGTGTGCTCTGGGTCATTGTCCTGCTGGAAGATGAACAGTCAACTTGGTCTGAGGTCAAGAGCGCTCTGAAGCAGGTTTTCATTCAGGATGCCTCTGTACATTGCTGCATTCATCTTTCCCTCTATCCTGACTTGTTTTCCAGTTCCTGCTGCTGAAAAACATCCCTACAGCATGACGCTTCCACCATGCTACACTTTAGGGATGGTTTTAGCCTAGTGATAAGCGGTGCCTGGTTTTCTCCAAACGTAATGCCTGGCATTCAATCCAAAGAGTTCAATTTTAGTCTCATCAGGCCTGAGAATTTTGTTACTTATGGTCTAAGAGTCCATCAGATGCCTTTTGGCAAATTCCAGGTGAGGAGTGGCTTCCGTCTGGCCACTCTACCATACAGGCCTTATTGGTGGATTGCTGCACAGATGGTTGTTCATCTGTAAGGTTCTCCTCTCTCTATAGAAGAACGCTGGAGCTCAGACAGAGTGACCATCGGGTAATTGATCACCTCCCTGACTAAGGCCCCTCTCCCCCGATCACTCAGCTTAGATGGCTGGCCAGCTCTATGAAGAGTCCTGGTGGTTCCAAACATCTTTCACTTATGAATGATGGAGGCCACTGTGCTCATTGAAACTTTCAGAGCAGCAGAAATTTTTCTGTAACCTTTGCCACCCTTGTGCCTCAAGACAATCATCTCTCTGAGGACTACAGACAATTCCTTTGTCTTCATGCTTGGTTTGAGCTTTGACATGCACTGTCAACCCTGGCATCTTATATAGACAGGTGTGTGCCTTTTCAAATCATGTCCAATCAACTGATTTTACCACAGGTGAACTCCAATTAAGCTGCTGAAACATCTCAAGAATGATCACTGGAAACAGAATGTACCTGAGCTCAATTTAGAGCTTCACAGCAAAGGCTGTGAAAACTTATGTTCAGGTTCTTTGTTTTTAATAAATTTGCAACAATTTCAAAAAATCTTTTTTTACTTTGTCATTATGGGGCATTGTGTGTAGAATTCTGAGGAAATAAATTTAATCCATTTTGAAATAAGGCTGAAACATAAAAATATGTAAAAAGTGAAGCGCTATGAAGGCTTTTTGGGTGCACTGTATAGTCAAAGAATCCAGGTTTTTTGATGTCATAAGATTTACAAGCTTTACAAAAATGTTGATAATACCCTTGTATGGTTTTATTGGACTGACTAACTAATATGTACCTATAATAAAATAATTTAACTAATTGTCAATTTGTTCACTAAAAATCATTGTTATTGTTTAACTATTTTAAGTTATGCTAACGGTAGCTTATGAGGTGGTAATCAGAAAGCTGTTGGGATTTAAATGAAATCTTCTTTGTTTTGTCAGCTAAAGGTGTATGAGGATGATTTTCAGAAGGAACGCTCAGACAAACGAATTCTTCAGAGGCTTCTAATGAAAAAATCTCCAGCTGAAAAAGATCCGGTTCTGGTGCATCGCTGCAACAATGATCAGGACCGTCCCAGGACAGACAGGCGGAAACAAAGAGGAGAGCAGCGGGGTGGATATATTTGTCCAAATCACCGTGACCACCAAGGCAAGCTGGAGTTTCCCTGAATGGGTTAAAACATCATGATAAAAGAATGTAAAAAAAGCTAGATTGTGTCTTTTAACTGCTTTATTTATTTAATGCAATTTCCTCATTTTTATTGTATTACTCTGTTTTTATACTTCAAGAATTGTGAACTGACTGACATATGTATTGTGTATAGTCTTAATATGAATTGGTCTCAACCAGTTTAATGTCTGAAAGCATGAACCTCAAACAATTCTTGTCAGAGAGCAAATACTATAATCTTTATAAGCTGGTATATCTTTTCCTGTTAGTTATTTTAAGAGATTACTAAGAGGAAACACATTTTTCTACACCTTCAATTATAAGGAAACAAATCCCCTTTGGAATGTTCTGAATTGAGCTCATTCTTAATGACTAACTAATTGTTTCCAGGATATTTGCTCTATTGTATTTACTCATTCATTAGAAATGTCGTTGTCCATTGGTGCACTTGTAAATGGCCTCTAATATAATACATTTTTTGTTATTAGATAGAATTGTCTCTTAAAACTGTTTTAAAATGTTTTATTTTATTAAAATATACACCAGTATATAGATGTTTGTACTTTACGGTTTCTATTTCTTCTTTTTTATAGATGTTTGGATTTTGTATTTTATGTTTGTGAGTACTTATCATCAATGGTAAATTGATTCAGAGTAAAAGTTCTGTAATTGATAACAGCTATACTGTATTTTGGCTCTTCAGAGTAATAAAATATAAAAGACAAAGAATATTTAAAAACTATTGCTGCCTTGGTGTTTTTTGTTATTGATTAAAAAAATGTGTCTGAAACTTAAATGTGACTGACGTTTCAGGGATATTGTCATAACTAAAATAAAATGGGAGGAAAGGGCAACATTTCCCAGTTTGTTTTAGCTTCATTTGATGCACCAAAATGACAAACTAAAATGAATAAAAATTATATATTTATAATGAGTGAATAAATATATTTATTTATTATAAAACTGTTATCAAAATAGAACATTATAAATTAAATAAAATGTGTGGTTTTATGTTATAAATAAAAAAATAAATAAATGTAATTCTCTAAAAATCATTTGATACACCAAAATGACAAACTAAAAAAAATTAAACTATATATTTATTATGAGTGAATAAATATATTTATTATAAAAATTTAATTAAAATAGAACATTATAAATTAATTAAAGTCTGTGATTGTATTTTATAATTTAATGATTATAATTCTATAAAAATCAGCTCATCAAAAGAAACAAACTAAAATATAAGGTAACACTATCATAACTACACACAAGGAATCATTTATTAAGCATTAGCATCTAGTGAAATTATTATTTGTTGAGAATTAACTCTAATAAATGTTAGTAAGCAGTTTATAACTGCAGATACAAATGCTGTATTCTTGACTTATAACCACATTTATAATGTTTTATAATTGTACTTTCATACTTTGTGACTGGTTGATTTTTCATTACTAAATTAGGTATTGCATTATTTTACAAACCATTTGTATTTAAGAGTAGTTGGAGGTTTGTGAGATCATTCAGAATAAGTTAGTAAATGATTAAACTATTGAAATTAAAGTTTCTATATCTTATTATTCAGGCATATGGTAATGCTATATAATGTTACTATGTATGTTAATAAATGCTTTATTAACTCAACTTCATCCAGTTTTGACCTGAACTAAAGTGAGGACTATTTATGCTTTATAAATGACAATTAAAGGCTTGTTATCAAATAAACAATAATCTTTGTAATCTTATCTAAAACATAAAATTACTGTAAAATAACAGGAGTGTCAAAATAGGACATACAATTTGATAAAACAACAACAATATAATAATTGAACAATATAATAGGATGCAATGTTTAAACGGAACAGTCATCTTATTTTAGTTTTAGTTTGCAAAGATTTATTTTTTATTTGATATAGTTTCATTTGAGTATCTTTAAATTAATAGAAAGTAATGAAGTCGTTTATTTTATTTTTTCTGTTTAGAATTGAATTGACTCTTTAATTGTCATTTATTAGGGATTTATAAACCATAAATAGTCCTCACTTTAGATTAGGTAACAAAACTGGATGAAGTTGAGTTAATAAAGCATTGCGTTCTGAACGATTTTGAGATATTAAGCTTCAATGTTTTTGCATTCCATATAGTAAACATTTATTTTTTTAAATAAAAAGTCTTATAAAAAACATCCCATAATGTAAATGAGTTTTCATTTAAAAAGAATGTCAAAACCTCAATTTTGACAAAAATATCAGATAGAACCTTATAATTCTAAGGTGACAAAATGCCTGAATAATAAGATATATAACTGTTAACTTTAATAGTTTATTAATCATTTACTAACTCATTCTGAATTATCCTAAAAACAACCAAGCATGCTTAAAAACTATTTTGTAAATAATGCAATACTTCATTTAGCAATAAAAATAAATCATTATTAAAATATAAAATTACAATTATTAAGCTCATTATAAAGGTGGTTATAAGTCAAGAATACATAATTAGTATCTGCAGTTATAAACTGCTTACTAACATTTATTAATGTAGATTAAATACTTAACAGAAAATGAATTCACTATTTGCTAAAGCTAAATAAAAGGTTCATAGTGTGTAGTTATTATTAAGTGTTATCAAATATATGCATAGCAAGTACTGTATAAAGTTTCTTTTCAGGAAAAAATGTTTTTTCTTTATCATGATGTTGTCATCAGCAGGTGAATATGTAGGTCACGTTCCACACGTACTATGAGATGACAGCATGTTCCATTGTGTACAGTTCCATTTACAAAGAAGATTGCTCACAAAAGGAAATGCTTTTTTGACTTGGAATTTCCAGCATCATCTACTGACAAGCTCAAGGCATTGCACCATAAGTGAAATACAATGCCTACACACCCTAGGATGTTTTTAAAAGGTGGTTAAAAATTAACCAGGAATCTGATCAGAAATACATGGTGTATTAGAGGAGGAGCCTAACTCTCAAACGATTATAAATAAACATAGACTGACTGTAAAAACATCAAAACTTGGGTAACAACAGCTTGAACAGCAGAGAGCAGGTATTACTTATTATTATTATTATTATTATTTCTTCATGTCGTTTAGATTAACATTAAAGTTCCTGTACTTTTCTCATTTACAAGTTTGTTTTTCAGATTTGCAGCAAGCAAGACTCAACAGCTTTCTGACCAAGACTCAACACTCAGAAATCAACATCTTTCTGACTCAGGTGTGTGTTTGACTCCATGAACTTCAGTTCTTCAGGAAAATAAACAGATTAAATAGACACCTGAGTGTGCACTTTTAGCATCACTCCACCCTTATGTGCTTAAGAGTAATATGTCCTTTCCTTTTAATTGCTCATGGACCATTGCTTCCAGGCACATTATAGCTCTGTTCCTGCATAAACAACCCAGAATAAATGTGCTATGTATAAACGGGGCAAAGTAAGAGCGAAACAAGGAGGTTTTTAGAGGATGGACAAGGAAATGCCTTAGACAGAATGTAGAAGCGAAGTTGTATTTACAATCTTTCCCTCTCGCAATGCATTTCTCTGTAACACATGATATAAAAACAGCTTTTTCTCTCTCTGTGCAGAGTTTAAGGTGAGCACTTGTGAAGAAAAGCGAGACACGAAGTCCAAGGTACATCTGCAAAAGACAAACTCCGTTTTCAGACATGAACAAAGACGTTGCTGATATTCAGGGCCAGTACAAGCAGGATGGGTATCTGACTGCGCTTCCTATCCTGAGTCCAGAGGAGCTGCAACAGGCCCGCAATGCTTTTGCTGAGCTGGAGAGAAAACATGGTGAGCTTCAGTGAAACTGAATTTGAATTTTAGGACAGGTTTGGAATTGAAGTAATCAAAGTATTTTCTTACAGGCGAAAGTTACACTGCTTACAGTCTTCATAACATCCACAAGGAGTATGACTGGGTGATGGCTCTCGCAAAGCACCCAAGGCTTCTTGAGGTGGTCACAGGAGTTCTGGGGCCTGATGTCATCCTGCTTGACTCTAGATTTATTTGTAAATATCCAGTGGGTAGCAGACACGCTGAAAAGCAAGAAAGCAATGGGATCATCCAGTTGAGCAATACCTGTAATAAGGCAGAAGATTCCAATGAAAAGGAAGAAATGCCATTTGTGGCCTGGCACCAGGACATGAAGTAAGCACAATTACACACAATGAAATGAATTCTATTAACTCAAGTTTTAATTTCAAGTACTGTAAGCCAACATATTCTGGTCTTTAGGTATTGGGGTTTTGAGGGAGGCCCCGTTTTGTCAGTCTGGCTTGCCCTTGATGACTCACTTGAGGATAATGGGGCACTCCAGGTTATTCCAGGTAGGAACACCGTTTCATTGTGTCATTGTGGCTGGCTTGTAATCGGAAACGTCTGAACTTTCTTTGTTTTTTTGCCAACAGGAAGTCACCACTATGGTCTTTTACCCCATCACCAATCAAAACGAGCTGGCAACATGTTGAGTGTCAATCAAGAGATCCCAGAAGAGCTAGTGGAGACAGAAAAGGCCCTCTTATGCCCCCTGCTAGCTGGTCAAATGTCGGTGAGTATTTCTTTTGTCTGAAAAACAATATGCAGTGAAAGAATTGAGGTACACAGCCAGCCAATACTGAATATTAAATACAATTACTCAATTACCATTTGGCAAAATCATACCCATCCTGTATTTTGGTTCCATAAAAATAAGTAATTTGGATATACATCCATAAGGACTATACGCATTTATTGTCTGATTTTTACTTCCACACAGGTCCATGATGGACTTTTGGTTCATGCTAGTGATCCCAACACATCTAACAGGAGGCGTTGTGGCTACGTGATCCGATATGTTCCGACATGTACTTATCCAATCCAGGTAAAAATCTTTCTCCATTTACAAAATGATTGCACTTGTACATAACAGACACTTTTATCGATTTTTTCATATTTATATTTATCTATTTGTATATTTATTTACCTTACAGGATCCTGAGCGCCCCAGGACATTTCCTGATACAGTGCTGGTCAGTGGTTTTGACAAATACAACCACTTCTCCAAGAAAACATCCAAACTGTGACTCATTAAGACAGGCTGTTTGCAGTAATTAAACTCTTACATTGTATATTTTCTTAAATAGACCTATAAAAGTAGACTTTAAGTAGATCTTAAAGTAGCCTAGCTTAACAATTTGTTTGTTGTTATTAACATCAGTTATTAATATTAATCTTGACAACCTATGTCTACTTTGAAAGTGATTATATACAATATACTATACACATTTTTCATTGTTACTGCACTAGAAGTATTTAAAAATGTATTTATCTTTCAAGCTTTAAAGAAACTATGTTTTATAGTATTTTAATCTGTAAATGTAATAATATATTTCTGTATTATTTGTTCTTCTGAATTGTCACATTCTGAACATGGAAAACCAAATAAACTGCTCAAAGAGGCCTATGGATGTTTAGGTCATTTGCTGCTTTTAGAAAATTTGTTGGTCCAACGTTATAAAAATGACAGTATTCCACATACTATCAGACAAAAAGATGCATCCACTATCAGTTTGTCCAGTGAGAGTGTTACTTTAAATGTTGATGCATCTTGTCATTTGATACTTGAATTAATACTGACATAAAACAAAAATTAAAGAATAAACAGTAAAAATAGACAGTAGGCCAGAAAATCCACATACAATATGTGTAAAGTACAAAAATAAAGTATTTGAAAAAAAAGCTTCTCAAATAGCAATAATAAAAAAATGCATTGAGTTAACAAGACTGCTTATATTTTAATGACTTGTCAGAGTTTTTATTTTTAGGTTCTGAAATTTAACATAGCTGGTTATTTAAGTTGAGAATATTTGGTAACATTTTACTGGAAGGAGTGTTCGTAAAACTCTCATTAAATTTATAATCATGAAATGACATGTAATGGCTGTGAATGAAATTTTATGCATGCTCATGCAAATTGCAATTAAGTATCATTTGCTCAGTTATGACATGTTAAATGCATAGATGACACTGTTATGACAAATTGATTTAAACAAGTACATAAAAACATGCTATTATCTTTGAAGAGTTGACATAAAACTTGATTACCAAGACAACAAAACTTGTCATAAATCTGTTTTAAACATGTCATGAATTCATTATACATCAGAAATAACATGCAAAACTTTGTTCAGTTGTAGATAAAATATAGGCTAAATTATAATTATACTCAACAAAAGGGACAGACAGAGATGTATTTAGAGTTGCATTTTAAAGCTGTAACATATATAAAAACAGGTGGAAATTTATATTAACCTCTGCATAAACGGATGGTATAAAGTGTAATGCTGTTCTTTCAACTTATACTGCCTTTGTTTTGGCTTTGAAACGTTCAATTACAGGTACAACTCCCTAACCAATAAGCCACAACATGCACTAAAAACCCAAATAAGTTGACTGAACTAAATTAATTGAGTAAACTCGTTGCCTCAATTAAATTAATGGAGTCTCCAAAAACTTGCATATTCAAGTTTATTTAACTTGACGGTTTTGTAGAATATACTTAAATTGATCAGTTCAGAAAACTTAGTATTAAAAAAAAAACTGGTCACTGACTCGGAGTAAAAAAATATTGAGTGAGTGGAAATATGTTGAAATATGTCTACTTTTGCATCGATTTAACAACTTGCAGATAATTGAGGAATGAAACTTAATAATGATAGAATCCAAAATGTCAAATCTTATTCAGACAGCATACCAATACATTTTCAAAACATTAAGTTATCTGGACAATATGGAAGGTTTCCCAACTAGGACTTAACAATACAAACAATTTGAAGTAGCTCCAAGGAACCATAGCTGCGTCCCAAATTGCATACTTATGCACTATTCTACAGCATTTTGTAGTATAAATAGTGTAAGTAGTGCGTAGTACGGAGGACACATAAAACTTCCCAGACGTGTTCTTGATATCGAGGATACAACGATGCAGACTTGAGCACCGAACTCACTCTGGAAGTCCCAGAAATCGTTGCGACTGGAGGTGGGAAGCGCAGCATTTTGTTTAGATTTATTATTAAAGTTCAGAGATATCACTTATTTATCTCAAGAGTTTCTCTAAATGAAACGGTGAATATAAACATTACCATGGACATCTTAATAAATAAATAAATACATCAAGGATGTTTATTTGCTGAAATTCGTATTAAAATCTGTTTTTTTATATTATGCAATGTGTAGTTATACTGTTTTTATGCATAGTATATATTTTGAAAAGGGGAAAAACAATAAATTGTAGTATGAAGGCTGTAATGTTTGAATAATTTACCATTAAAAACACGTGAAGGTCACATGACCATCAGGAAGAACGCAGCATCTCATTTCTCACAGGACCCGTTCTCTGCCCTTGTGGTCTCCAGAGTTCGTTCTTCTGAGGACACCTGGCAAGACCGGTCTCCACAAGAACGCAAGTCTGCAAGGAACTGAGATACAACCTTTATTTTTTTTGGATGGTGAAAGCAAAATTCTTCCATAGGAGTGATTATAGCGCCTCCCAATGGTGAATGCGGTTATATTCATTGCAGGTATTATTTTATAGTTTGGTCATTTATTTCACTGATTTGGCAACCGTCAAACGTCATTAGGGAAACGGTTTAAATTTCTGTTTAGTAAAAAAAAAAAAAACAGTGTTTCATTTAGGACAACACTACATTATGATTTTGAGCTCACTACACTTTAAATCTTAAGTTTATGCATTTTCATGGTACATAAGTTAAATTAATTCATGTTTTTAAATTATGGCACCAAAATGCAACATTTTAAAGGTCTGTTCAGTCAGCTTTACTTAATTGTTTAAGTAAAGACAACATTAGAGTTTTCAGTGTGTGCCTAAAATAAATTAAAAAAAAAATCTACCATAGAAAAGCTGTCTCAATAGAGTTAAACCTATAAAAATGACAAGCACGAAGAAAAAAAAATCATAACACTTTAAACCAACAGCACAAAAATAATTATATTGATTTTGAACTAATGAATTAAGGTTTGCTCTAATCAAAAACTTTAAATACAATATCAGTCACGTAGGTTTATGTAAATAATTGCTAGCTTAATTACAGATTAGTATATGTTTGTTAATTAATGTTTTAATTAACACCTTAATTTAAGATAATTTAACTCTATGAGAAAAAAACTGACCTGTTAATGTATCATTGTCATGACTTTACTTTAAGGGGCACATTATTATTAACTCATTCTTAACAACTCATGAACCCCTGTATTTAAACGTAATGGTCATGCACGTCTGTCAAGAGTGTTTACATCAGAAAATATAAATTGTCACCTTGGAATTATAAGGTTTTATCTGCATTCTGAATGATTTTGAGATTTTGAGCTTCAAAGTTGTTGCATTTCATAGCAAACAGTTTGTGTGTAACATTTGTTTTTTTAAATAAAAAAGTCTTAAAATGTAAACAACTTATATAAAAAATCCCATGATGTAAATAAGATGTCATTTCATAAGAATATGTAAATAACTCAATTTTGACAAAAATGTCAGATAGAACTTTTTAATTCTAAGGTGACGAAATGTAGCAGATTTGAAAGGAAAAACACATTTTGTTTGAAAGAGCCCTTCACTGTGGCTGTACACATTTTGCTAAATGCAATTTTTGTCATTTTTCAAGCAAACTCAAAGGGCTCTATTTTGACGATCCATGCACAAAGTGCAAAACGCAGGGCTCAGATGCATTTAGGACATATCAGAATCCACTTTTGCTAATATAACGACGGAAAAATCCTTTTTGCGTCATGGCGCATGGTCTAAAAGGGTTGAGTTTATTTTCTTAATGAGTTATGGGTGTGTTTTGAGAATAAACTAAACCAAACAGAGTCTCATCTCCCATTCCCTTTAAGAGCCAGTTGCTTCGTGCCATAGCGCATTTGCTATTTACATGACGAACTTTGTAAGTGGAAAAACTGAACCCTTCACTTGAGAGAAAACAGTTAAACAGAGCATCTACAGCTCGAGAATGACAGATGACCCTCCTCATTGTTTACTTTTGCTTTCACTCTCGAGAAACAAGTTAACAAGAGTCTGGAAACACATTAACAGGAGTCCACAACCACAGCAAAACATATGTTGAAAGAAAAAGATATTAAAACAGACCCTATCATATGTAGTCCTGAAAGGCTCAGTTAGATACGTGTGATTGATACGTATGAACAACCTTTTGACTACACAAGTTCTAATCCCGTTGTTGACATAAATTATTATTATTTTTTTAGATTAATTTTGGTTATATACTGTTTTGCTACACAAATATTAAAATCAATAATGTTTACAATGACACCGACACCAAAGGTCCGTTCTTCGTACCTCATTTAAATGATCTGAGATGATTTGACAAATCCTGGGTCTTTTAATCTTGATAACTGATCTCTGGTTAGTTTGGTTCTTCAAACAAGTTTGCGAATTAGATTAAAATGTCTGGATGAACTGATCTGAGATCCCTTTGTGTGTTGGGAAGGACAGATCTATTGATTCTCAAAATCATGATCAGTAATGCAACGATTGGCTGACGGTACACCGGCGTAATGACATCAGATTAATATTCAATTATCCATGTTTAAAGTCAGGTATGCATCTTTTAATCTTGGATTTATCTTTGAGAATTTGATGTCTTGTATTGATCGTTTATGAACTGACTGAATGAATTGGCATAATACACAAAGGGCGTTAACTTCCGTCTAGGACAGCATGGAGTTGCACGACTAACCTAGATTGGGTACCCGACCTTTGTTTGAAAGTAATGTTACTCTAAATTAAGTTCATATGGGAAACCATGGGCTTGGTGAAACCAAAATTATTGTAGAGTACAGTAGTCGGTTACATTTATAATAATGGCCCTAACCTCTGATTGGAAATGATATTGTCTTTGCTCAAGGGTGTACATCTAGGGAGGACTATTTAAAAATACTTTAGAATGACCAAGCATGGGAGCGGCCATCTTAAAGTAGTAGTCATCTACCTCTGTTTAATGTTCAAGACTGACAAGAGTGTGACAATGAGGGATGCCATCCGCTGGGGCGATCTCACTGAGCGACATGAGCACCCAAATGAACAAATGTAATAGTTACGAGTGAAGACAAAAGGCTCAAACATTTATCCAAATTATATATTGATATACTCTTCTTAATGTTTTATGATTGGAGTCAGATAAAATGAAAGATAAATATATTAATATTCTAAACCACCTCATATTCAAATTCAGTCAGATATGAATTAAATTTAAAGTAAATCAAGATTGTGCACTGGAAAGACCGAACAGGCATTGAACCTTCATCCACCAGTGGACACCTCCATTGGACCAACTGGGTGGACCTTACAGTAGATTCTTTGCTCTATGTCTGTTTTTTAAGATTACTATTTTGGATTTGCCCCAATACTGTCACTTCCCCCTAAGGAGGT